TTTCCTGCATTTATTGGATGCGCTATAGCTGAATAGAACAGCTTCACCTGTTCTAAGGTTTTACTTGTTAAGGTTTAGTAAGGTTGAAGTTAAATAAATATATTATGGGTTAAATACAAATTAAGCATCTATGACATGCTGTCAATTACCACTGAAACTACATAAGCTCGTCTGCACAAGATGAAAGGAAGAATGCAATATTTGATGAATGCATCGTGATAATCATAAGATTAATTAGTGAAATCAGTTATAGTTTTTTTTTTTTGCATAATTTAAAGCTATAAATGACATTCAATTTGCAGGTCTCCCGTTCTTCCTTAGTAAATAAGGTGTCACTCCTCGATCCTTCAACTGCTCATTTGCTTAAAGCGCAAAAACAAATCTTTTACTTAAGTGACATTCCCGGAGTATTATCTGGCATTAATGGCAATCAAATGGAAATGTAAAAGGATACGCTTAATTAACAATTTGCATGTGCAAAATGACATCTAGAACATTAAGATAAACAAACTGAGTGGAAAATGGAGCTTTGACTCTACTTTTTCATTTTTCTGCTTATTTTTTCCACTTTATTTTTAACTTGCTTTTCTTACGTTGCTTATTTGTATGGAATTTACTTTCCCTCATGTTATTTACAACATGTAAGAACAGTGTTGGGGGTAACACATTACAAGTAACGCGAGTTATGTAATCAGATTACTTTTTTCAAGTAACTAGTAAAGTAACGCATTACTTTTTAATTTACAAGATAATATCGGAGTTACTTTTTCAAATAAGTAACGCAAGTTACTATTTTTTTTTTCCAATTTATTGATTGGCAGCTCTCCTGTCCCCATGTTGAGAGAAATCAGAAGATGTTAGTTCTAAAATAAGTATGAATATGCATTAACTCATCTCACTCACAAAAAACAAAAACAAAACACAGATTCATTATTCCTCAAAATGAATAAAAAATAATGCAACTCAGAATATGACGCAAACCTGCAATAATTAAATGTTAAACAACACAAATATCCTTTATGTATTTAATCCCATTCTATTAACCAATGTCTTTGCTTCTGACCTTTGACGATCCCGTTTCCACCATTCTAATAAGCAAAAATGACTCTAGACAAACATTAGTTTTTTTTTATTGCTGAAGTGTGTTGAAATTTCTTCTGCATTCTACTGTACAGACGTAAATTTACTGTCCCTTCAGCCTGAGGCTTATTAATTTCACTTTTGGTGTGAAAAGGCTTTTATATTTGCCAAAAATGAACTTTTTTTATTTTAAAAACAAACAAGCAAGCCCGGTCCAGATTTGAAAAGTAACGCAAAAGTAACATAACGCTTTACTTTCCATAAAAAGTAACTAAGTAACATCATTATTTAATAAATATTGCATTACATTTTAAAAGTAACTTTCCCCAACACTGTGTAAGAACTGTGTCTCTGCAGAACACCAACGATATATTGAAAATGTCTTTATTCCATTGTTTATTGATGGGACTTTTTATATCAACAACAGGACTTATTATATCAACAAAAACAGTTGAAACATTCTTCAAAATATGTTTTGTCTTCTGAAAGTCATACAGGTTTGAAAGACATGAGTAAATTGAAAATTTAGATTTTTAGGTGAAATATTCCTTTAATAGGTTCATTTTGGACATCTGTGCCAAGCAGTGGCTTTCTTCCTGTTAAGCAGTCTTTGTTGAGTGTGTGATTGGTTGTTCCCTGATGGAGGATCTCCTATGAGGTCTCAGGACCCTTAGGCCTGACGGTGGCGAGAGCTCCTTTCTCTCTCTCTCTTTGCTTCAGTCACATCCAATCCTTAGGCCATTTATCACCTGAAGATAATGAGATTGGCTAATGAGAAAAAGAGAGAGAAAAGCAGGAATGAAAATGCGTATAGGTAAGAGACAAAGAAATCTATGCATGGGAGAAAGGTGTGTGTGTGGAAGATTTAAAGTTCGGGAGCTGAGGTGTTGAACAAGAAGTATAATACATCACACACACATGCTCTTTCAAAAAATTTAAATAGTCATTTACTCACCCTTATTCCGTTCCAAACGTGTATGACTTTCTTCAGTGGGACTCAAAAGAGAAAATATTGCCGAAATTCCAGTTTTATATATAATAACTATTTAAAAAAATATATAATAACTATATAAATTAAGTATTTCATATGATATATGCGCTATATTCCGAGTCTTCTGACGCTCTGCTAGGGTCGATAAGTTGTGGAAGATATTGAAAAGGAAAAATCTTTCTCATAGTTCTGAAAAACATTTATGCTGTTTTGAACAAAAGTTGACATTTATTGGCTCTGAAAATATCATGTGACGTAAACTACCTTTTTCCTTGCGCTTTGCATTATTTAAAAAATATTTAACATTTTTTTCAAGATGGTATGTTTTTTATATTGTGAAATTAATATTATGAAATAATTCATAAATAGTAAATTTTTTGGTTTGAAGTGAAAGAATTTAAAAACTATGGTGGAGGAGAAGATTGTTAGACTGTTAGATATAGACTTAGAACAATTTTTATGGTGCATTTTTGGAGATCCACAGCCACAGTCTCCATTTTGAAAACAGACCTTTTGAAAGACAAATAATAAGGTATGATCAGAATGACAGAATTTACATTTTTGAGTTAAGTATAGTACTAGTTCAGTTTGTCAGTTTTCGCTCATGCATCAACACATGATTTTTGCTTATCATACCTGACTGATAGTTGCGCAGATCTTGCTCTATCCTGTTAGCCCTTGCAGAATGAAACCATTCTTGCGTTCACTGCATGCAGCCAAACCGTCATTTTTAAGAGCCAGTAACGGGCAAACATCGGCATGTCAGCCAGGCGCAGAAATCCTCATTTTTCCTCACACGGTTCAGTAACCAGCCTGCCGTGTCTTCGCAGAACACACTTGATTTGCCCAATACAATGACAGACTTTTTATCTCGACAATCGACATAGAGCTTTTTGTCGTGTGCTGATTTAGCTATTCAGCAGCATTACAGCTGTCTAGTGGACATAATGAGATGAAATTATTGAATTTGTTCATTGTGTAAGACTTCCAGGGTCATTGGTTCCTTGATTCTGAGTGTTTTATCATTGACATATGGCGCTTTCATGCTACAGCTTCAGTTAGTATGTTATCCCCATCACACGGGCCAAATATAATATGGTTTTAACCTGCTCATATTCAAAACAAAAGCACAGATTACTGTCTTGACATTCATGATCAACTAGCAAAACCCCGAATGCTTGCTCTCTTACCTACACTACACAAAAAACACTCTAACGCAAGACTGCTTGGCCTCCCTCTGCTTTTCTTGCTCGAGGGAAAGGAATTGCCATGGATATTTATAGGCGGGCTGAAAATGGGTTGTCCTCTCGTTCACCATCAGGGGTTTCTGTCTGTATTCTATTTCATCGGCACAGTTCTTTAGCTATCCTGAAAGCTCCTCCATCAGAAGAGATGTCTCGGTGCATTAAATGCAACGTCTCACTCTCAAAAGTGGGTGGTCGATACGGTTTTATTTCATAACGAATATCAGACCATGTGGGCACAGATGATGTAGTTTTAAGTGTGTTATTTGCAGAGCAGATAAACGTTGCTGGACTCAGAGCGTGAGGATTTAAAAATCGCTGAGATTTATGCTTTTTAAGCCAATATGCTTTTATTCGCCGAAAGATTTGGTCCTTAGGGTTAACAGTCCGATCTCTCTCAACTCTCCCACAAGCTATGCCTTATGCTGGCTGTGTTAGTAGTCTATCTGCAGTTTATTTCTGCTCTTGCGTTTGGTTTTCCCTCAAGCGTCAAAGCATTGTTGCTTGGAATGAGCCAAATCCAAAAAATCTCTATCTGTTGAGGAATATCGGCGCCTAATTCTTAACCTGATTGTTCACAAAAAAAAAAAAAGATCATTTACTAACCCTTTGCCATCCTGTCTGAATGAGTTTCATGCAACACAAAAGAAGATATTTTGATTAATGCACTGGTCACTTTTTTTCCATGCAATTACAATGAATGTGAAGTGTAATAAAGCACCATTAAAAACAGTCCAAATGACTTGTGTGCTTTGTTTCAGGTCTTTTGAAGCCATGCAATAGCTTTCTGGGGCCAAAAGGCCTGAAATCAGTCTATATTCCCTAGCAATTTTTCTCTCGTCCAGGCTGTTAACTGCTGCGACTTGATTGTTGAATCAGTGATTTGAACTTAAGAACTGAATCAGTTCAAATCATGAGCTAATAAGACTGGGTTCTACTGATCTGTATCTGAGTTATATGTTCCTTCCCAAATCACAAAAACATATTTTGTTAGTCTTTTATTTTCCATTTCAGGTGCAGTGGCTCTGAACTTGAACTAAATCAGTCTGAATCATGAGCGAATCAGACTGGGTTTGGTAATTCAATCTACTGATTCATTGAAACAAGTGATTTGTTCAGCATTCCTTCCCACAACACAAAAATTACTTTTATTTTCTATTTTAGGCAGAGTGGCTCTGAATGTGGCACTGTGTGTTAATTCATACTGTCGTGGCCTCAGCTGTGATATGAGAGCCTGGAATATTGAGCATACTGAGTGTTTTTTGGCATTTCTCTGGGAGGATAACAACCTTTTCCCCTTTCTTGTGAAAAATGTAAATGAGGTTCTATTTCTAGTATATCAATGTGTGTGGCAGAGAGAACATCTCGTATAGCTTGTGGGGTCACATGCCTGGAACACCAAGAGATCAAGGCAACGAGACATGTCATCTACCAATCCTGACACATTAGCATGGTTGTGTAGGAAAAGGGCGGATATTAGGTTGTAAGTGAATGGTAAAATTGGAAAGAGAGGTGAGGGGTTGGAAGACAGGAAGCTTCAAACCTCATTTTGTAAGGAAGTCATATGAGAGACTTGAGGAAGTGATTAAATGTTGTGGGACAGAAGGCTATTTTTTATTTGTTATGTGATATTGACTTTCCTCTGTCTGTCTTTCTCTTTTCCCCTATTCTGTCTGACTCTATAGGAGAAGAACAAGGACAAAGACAAGCGTTTCCGTCCGCTCTATGACATTCCTTACATGTTTGAGGCACGGGAATTCTTGAGAAAGAAGCTCATTGGCAAGAAGGTGAGAGACTTTGTGACATTTCCCACAAACAGACATTATGCCTTAGACTTTCTGTATAAAAGTTTTCTTTCCATACGTTTTTCTGCCCATTGCATATGGATGCAGAGTTGTTTACTTTCTCTGAGTTTCTGTATTCTGTTTGGAGTCACTGAACACATTGACCACACAGACCTTGAGCAGAGCCACTTTATTCACAGAGGCACAAATTTCTTTTTTTTTCTTTTTACTTTATTTTTTTTTAAAGAAAACAAAGGAATGGCAAAGCATAGGGCATCGACATGAGAAATGTTGAGATGTTTACACACACATGTGCATATAGTCATATAGTATAATTGCAGTGCTTATTCTCCACAATATATTATTTATTTATTAGATCTTTATTGTTTTCATTGAGAATTACTTGGATTATAAAAACTTCTCAATGAGACAGATGCTTGAAAGTAATGGGTTAAAAAAATTAAAAGGGTTTCTGTAAAGCATAGGGCATCGACATGAGAAATGTTGAGATGTTTACACACACATGTGCATACAGTCATATAGTATAATTGCAGTGCTTATTCTCCACAATATATTATTTATTTATTAGATCTTTATTGTTTTCATTGAGAATTACTTGGATTATAAAAACTTCTCAATGAGACAGATGCTTGAAAGTAATGGGTTAAAAAAAATTAAAAGGGTTTCTGCGGAAAAAAAAGCAGTTTCCAGTTTACATTTTGATGAAAGTTAATTTTTTTTTATATTATTTTATTTTTGGATTAACAGTAAATGTTCAATTAGTTAATGCATTAAGAATAATTTAACTTGTTTTTATAATAATTTTATAATATTTTAATGAAATAAAAATGCACATATAATTTAACAATTTTGCGTAATGCATATATAATAATTTTAATATATATATTGTAAATTAGCATTATGAATGAACAATGAACATTAGTATATCTATGGTTTAACATTAACCCTGATTTAATATTTAACCCTGAACAGCTAAAAAAGTTTTGTTCCTGATGTCACTGGATTATTGTATCGAATCACTCACAACAAGCGCATGAATGTGTTTTGAGAAAATACTTGATTTGAGGAGGAAATGTAAAACAGGAAGTGTTTCCATCTGTGTCACTCATAACAAATAGAAATACTTGGCATCAGAAGTTGTTGCTGTTTTAATTGGGACAGCAGGGTATAAACTGGTGTGGGATGTTCTGAAAATTGTCATATTGGGACTCATTAAAGTATAATGGGCAGATTGTATAAAGCTGTGCTTCATTGTCTGTTCAAGACTTTTCTCACCTAAACAATTCAGTGTTTATGTGCAGAATACTGAAAAGCCCTGTCTGTAAGGCCTATTTGATTTAACACCAAAGAAATATTACAGCACATTTCCTCACACAGACATTTTCTCAAAAATTATCACTAGATGCATGGAATAGTAATGTCGCTTTATATTATCTTTGTATGAACGTAAGGCTGCATCTAGAATCCAATATTTTATTGCCTCTTCTTTTTACAGAAGTCTGGTTCACTGACCTGGAATCATGTGAATATTTTGACACGAGACGGGAAATGGAAAGCAACGAGTTTAATCTCAGATCAGATTTTTGCATTTCCCATGTATGCACTCAGCGGTAGTAAACAGATAGTTGGATTTATACGCTCTGCGTGATAAGATGCCTGTTTGCATATTAATGCAAACAGTGTGGGAATGTTTGAATTCAATCAGAATTTATTCAGCTCAAGATAGCATTGCGGCAATCATCTTGAAGATCCAATTTTGGCTCATTAAGTGGCACAGAAGTGCTTTGACTTAAATTAGTAGTGTATAGTATTAATCATCTTCAATCTTCTGAGTCAAAAGTAGCATCTTAATACTTCTGTAAAGGAAACATTCAGTTTTTTTTAATGAAATTGAACGAGGCTGTAACCAGATATTCAATATTGAGGTGGACCAAATGCAAAAGTTGTTAATACTGGCTTGACAGCAACGAATTTTAAATAAAATGCACTCGTTAACAGTCTGTTGTCATATTCCTTTAGTTGTTGCTAGGACACAATGTGGTGTGGATATGAGGCCTTGTACTGAGGCACGCCTCGTTTTAGAATCCCCCCCTGCTGCCCTGGCAACCACTGTGGAAAATGTTCAAACTGCTTAAAAGAGAAATTCATAGAAGTTCATTACTATAAAATTGGGACATTGTCAAGTACAACTCTAATGACTAATTTCTGCTAGTTTAGGGCAGAAGGGACTATTTTATGCCTAGAAACTTTTGATTTTCCATTTTTCTGGCATTTAAGATGCCATTCGTTCTTTACAGGCTGCATTCCAGCTGGTCACAAAGGGTAAGCAGTACCTGACTTTTGTTTCCAGACTATTAGTGGGAGAGCTTGAGCTGATTTTGGTGGATTCATTGAGGTTGCATCTTTCGTCTGCCATTCTAACACATGTATGTAGTCTTCAAAAAGAGGTCCTCAAAGAGGTCAAATTTCAACTCGACGAGTATGTGATCAATATCAGAGTTCAGCGGCGCAATCAGCAAGAGAGGATGAAAGGAAAGGAGGTAAAGAAACTCTTCCAAGCCCCAGTGAGCCACAGCTCTGAAGCGTGGCGTCCATTTCAAATCGTGTTTCTTCTTTTGAAAGGATGGAGAGAATGAGCGGCATTCACTAGCAGTGGGTAATGGAGGAAAATGCGTGGAGAAGTGTGTTTCCTCCTCTTGGTATTGAAACAGATCTTCCCGGTGACATAATCCAAAGCTAGATTTGGCTAACTTTCTAAGTAGCGCCTCTGTAGAGGGTCTCTGCCTCAGCAAAAAAGTCAAATGAAAATGTTGCATTAATCCACTTATCAGGAAAGAGCACGTTTGGATAATCCTGCCCGCTCAAAGTGCCTCCTGTTATGTGGGTGTGAGCGTTTGTGTGTGTGTATGTGAGGTGTTAACAAGAGACAGTGACTGAGTGGAATGTCAGTGTCAAGCGTTTGATGTCTGTGTTTATGCAGGTATGTTCCAAGCAGGTATGTGCTGCTTTGCTTATTAGTTTGTTCATTTATATGGGAGAGGACGTGCTGAGTTTTCCCTTGCCCTGATGCACATCAATGCAGCCACGACAGAGCTGTGCAGACTTCATTCATCTTTTCCCTCTACTTCTGCTTTAGAGGGAATTACAGTGGTGTATGAGACAAGCAGTTCACTTTTAATCCATGAAATATGTATTACAGAGTTTTCTGACTACACCTACCCTCACCGCATTAGACTCCACTCACAGGGACTTAAAGGAACACGCCCCTATTTTTGAAAATAGGCTGATTTTCCAACTCCCCTAGAGTTAAACAGTTGAGTTTTACCATTTTCGAATCCATTCAGCCGATCTCCGGGTCTGGCGGTAGCACTTTTAGCTGTAGCTTAGCATAGATCATTGAATCTGATTAGACCATTAGCATCTCGCTCAAAAATGACCAAAAAGTTTCTATATTTTTCCTATTTAAAACTTGACTCTTCTGTAGTTACATCATGTACTAATACAGACGGAAAATTAAATGTTGCAATTTTCTAGGCCGATATGGCTCGGAACTATACTCTCATCCCGACGTAATAATCAAGGAACTTTGCTGCCATACCATGGGTGCAGCAGGTGCAATGATATTACGCAGCGCCTGAAAATAGGCTAACTTCTGTCAACATAACCAACTACACAAACTTAGTGCCAGTCACATTGGAAG